GAAGGGATGGACACTGGGAGGAGGTAACTATGGGGAGGAAGTGGGAGGGGAGCTGCTGCATTGTAAATTTTGGTCAATGACACGAGACAAAGTATATGTGAACTGCTGTATGAAAAGTGAATTTACTCTGTAAATCTTCACCCAAATCCTAATAAAAAAAAAAATTTGCTGCAAAAGACCTTCTTAAAGTATTAAAGAGCAAAGATGTCACTGTGAAGACTAAGGTGTAAATGACCCAAGCCATGGTATTTTCAATAGCCTCATATGCATGTCAAAGTAGGACAATGGATAAGGAAAGCCCCAGAAGAATCAACGCATTTGAATTGTAATATTGGTGAAGAAAGGAGCTCTGTGTTATTATGGTTAAAGCATCTGGCTGCTAACCAAAAGGATAGCAGTTCAAAACCACTAGCTGCTCCCTGGAAGAAAAGGATGGGGCAGTCTGCCTCCATAAATATTTAGAGAATCTTAGAAACCTTAAAGGAAAGGTCTACTCCGCTCTATACAGTCAATGTAAGTCAGGATCAATTGAGTTTTCTTTTTTGTCTTTTGGTTGGTGAAGAATACTGAATACACCATGGACTGCTAGAAGAACAACAAATGTGTCTTGAAAGTAGTACAGCCAGAATGCTCCTTAGAAGTGAGAATGGCCAGACTTCATCTCTCGTACTTTGGCCATGTTATCATCCGAAGGACCAGTCCCTGGAGAAGGATATCATGCTTGGTAAAGCAGACAGTCAGCAAAAACAGTAAAGACCCTCAACAAGATGGACTGACTCAGTGACTGCAACGATGGGCTCAGGCACAGCAATGATTGTGAGGCTGGCACAAGAGCAATGTTCCATACTCTCATGCATGGGATCACTTTGAGTCAAGCTTCATTCAGTTGTACACAGGGTTGCTATGAGTCAGAACTGGCTCAATGGCACCTAAAAGCAATGTGAGTGTATATGTGTGTATGTATGCATCCACTAAAAAAAAGAGAAAATGATAACAGTAGTTATCAATGTGGAACAAAGTAGGAATGGTGAGTAAGAGGAAAAGATCAGGAAATATTTTTATACTACATAATACTGTGCTACTTAAGTTTTTTAAAGAATTATACATTTATTCATATAAATAAAAATTTCAGTTAACCTATTAAAAATGTAGTGTATATGGTGAGCAAAGTCAATATCCTGATAAGGATAAATGTTAAAATATAAAAATGTGTGACACTGAACCTTTCAATTTTGGACTGCGTTCTTGTTCTTCCATTTTCCCGTGTTTTATCATCTTCTTTCTTTGGTAGAATTATTGTTGGTTCCAAACCAAATAATTCTTGAAGGCGTCCATAAAGATCAGAACGATTGTACACATGAAATTCAAAGTCATTGACTGTGATATATAATCGGGTTTCTGCCTTTGGATCTGTACATTACAAAAAAAGCATTTAGTCAATTTTTTTTTTCATAGCTACAATAATTTAGATTTGTTTATTTTAAAATAGAATTTTATGATACAGAGAAACATATTCAAAGAAATGTAAAATACAGGCAAAATAAATTAAAAAGCTAATGTTACTACAGTACTTTATCATTCTAAATTTCTAGATTCTGGGTTTATAATTTAAATATATTAACAACAGTAAAATGTCACTTACAGAGTAAAAGTAAAATTTTACCCTATAAGTAAAGTTATAAACTTTATATTAAAATATAAACAGTAAAATGTTCAAAATTCTATTTATTTAAAAATCACATTAGTATTTGAAGTTCTGAATCACAGAAACTAGTATTTTTCATAAACACAAAAGTTTGTTTTTAAAAACTACACAATACTGAAACAAAAGTTTAATGAACTGTAGACTTCAAACAATACTGTTATCAAAATAGATTATTACAGTAGATATAAGTAATAATAGTAATTAATGAATCCATATGCAAGGTTATGGAGGTATGTCTTTCTATTCAAAAATAAGACAGTGTGTCTGTTTCCAAATAGAGCAAAATAATACATATCATGTGACAATCGAAGGTCAGAAGAAAGTTATCATAGCCAGTTCTTTCTTTCATGAATCATACACATATTTTATGACACATCTAAACTTTACCCATTTTTACCTCTATTCAGTAAATTAAACTGAAAGCAAACTAAAATTAGGTAGGTTCAATCAGAAACGTTTACTTTAAAAAAATAGGTAGAGAAAGTTTTTGTTAACTTTCAGTTTAGTAGCTTTAGCTATGGTTTAAATATGACATATATACTCTTTAGTAAGGTACCAAATTTCACCAAAAATCATTTATGTTTTCTGAAGTAAAGCAAAAAGACATATGGAATGTCAAACAGTTCAAATAAATGCAAATTTTTGTTTAAACAAACAAAAACCATATTGCAACTGATATTTCCAAAATAAACTAAGAAAAATAAATCAGTAATATTTATTTTTCACACAATAATACTTTACTTCTGCTCCAACCTAAGTGAGCTTTTCCCCTCTTTACTTCCTAAGACAACTGAGAAAACAAATAAACCCAATTCTCTAAAAAGCTGATGTTTAAGAGCTGTAATTGTGATGGTTATTTTTTAAACAGTCCTTTTAATATATGTTCCCTACTATTTCTTGGAGTTTGCTACATGATTAAAAGCTTAAACAATCCTTGAATTATTATATCAAGAGCTTTATCCCTTTTCGGAGTGTGAGTCAAATTCTTAAAATTAAAATAAACTTAACAGGGAACACCCAGATCTGATAGGAATAACTATTATTATTCATCTTAAACAAGTAAATCACTCATTAGGTTTAAACCTATCATCAGTAACAACATAAATGTCATCCAGGACCTCTCTCAGAATGCCAGATCTAAACATTCAGCTGCCTACTCAACATCTCCACTTAGATGTCTAACAGGCATCTTCTTTTTGCTAACCAAACTCCTGATTTTCCCACCTAAACCCAGTCCACAATAATCAGCATCTCATTAACAGAATGTCTCTTGCTCAAGCCAAAAAAAAGTACTGCTCTTGCTGCTAACCAGAAGGCTGGCGGTTCAA